CCCCTACGCTACCTTCATCAAAACATGAACTCAGTGTAAGCACCTCACCCTCAGTATAACAGGTGCCCAATAGCAGAACCGAATAACAATGCTGGAAAGGAATCTGATCAGATCAATACCCATGAAAAGTCAAAGCAAATATTCTCAAACGACTCAGGACATAGAGCCTGATGCAATAGCAATGGTTGATACAAAACTCTTGAATGCGCAATGACACCATGACCCTGAGACTATCAGGAGCAGGATGAGACTGAAAGCAGAGAGCTGGAAGAGAGGTGACACTGGTACTCACAAGAAACGGGAATCAGTTCATTGGAAGGAGGAATAACAGTGATCTAGAACACGCCATAGAACGCAAAATATAAACGGAATTTACATAACAGTTGTCCAAGAACTTCCATCACACATTACACAGATTGAGACTGAAGTTGTTAATAACAGGAGAATCATGGCCAAATTGACTTGTAAACAACGGAAGTCACAGGAGAGACATAGATATAGAAACTGCAAAAAAAAAGTGTCAAAAATGAACTTGCTGACGACGAAGGAAGATTCCAAGATATCGCTACCAAGATAAGATACCAAGATAATATATCGCCACCAAGATAAGATACCAAGATAAAATATCGCTACCAAGAGATAAAAGAACCGAGAAAATCGTCAACTCATACACACAGAAACCACAATAGTGTGATATATCAAATAAATAAATCCACAAGGGCCGTGATGAGGGGTTCGAACTTACGCCCGGGATGATCCCAGATGCTGCCTTAGTCGACTCCGCCACGACAAGGTCAAAAGAATTGCAACCGGGAGTTCTATACTGACCTCATTCGGATCCTGCAGCCTCTCTGAGACAAACCAGGATTTTATATGGTAAAATTTTGTAAAAACCTGGTAACCCTGGGAAATAATGTGTAACAGCATAATGTATCCCTGGGAATACAGTATACTGTATCCCTGGGAATACAGTATACTGTATCCCTGGGAATACAGGAAGAAGGGAGTTCTAAATAAATCATACAGTGATGAAGGCTTCCCTAGAGGCGGTCTGACCGCCCTTAAACTGGATCCGGTCAGGTACTCCAGGGTTCCTTGTTAGGGTTCCTTGTTAGGGTTCCCTGCTAGGGTTCCCTGCTAGGGTTCCCTGCTAGGGTTCCCTGCTGGGGTTCCCTGCTAGGGTTCCCTGCTAGGGTTCCCTGCTAGGGTTCCCTGCTAGGGTTCCCTGCTAGGGTTCCCTGCTAGGGTTCCCTGCTGGGGTTCCCTACTAGGGTTCCCTACTAGGGTTCCCTGCTAGGGTTCCCTGCTAGGGTTCCCTGCTAGGGTTCCTTGCTAGGGTTCCTTGCTAGGGTTCCTTGCTAGGGTTCCCTGCTAGGGTTCCTTGCTAGGGTTCCTTGCTAGGGTTCCCTGCTAGGGTTCCCTGCTAGGGTTCCCTGCTAGGGTTCCCTGCTAGGGTTCCCTGCTAGGGTTCCTTGCTAGGGTTCCCTGCTAGGGTTCCCTGCTAGGGTTCCCTGCTAGGGTTCCCTGCTAGGGTTCCCTGCTGGGGTTCCCTGCTAGGGTTCCCTGCTAGGGTTCCCTGCTAGGGTTCCCTGCTGGGGTTCCCTGCTAGGGTTCCCTGCTAGGGTTCCCTGCTAGGGTTCCCTGCTAGGGTTCCTTGCTAGGGTTCCTTGCTAGGGTTCCTTGCTAGGGTTGCCTGCTAGGGTTCCCTGCTAGGGTTCCCTGCTAGGGTTCCTTGCTAGGGTTCCTTGCTAGGGTTCCTTGCTAGGGTTCCCTGCTAGGGTTCCCTGCTAGGGTTCCCTGCTAGGGTTCCCTGCTAGGGTTCCTTGCTAGGGTTCCCTGCTAGGGTTCCCTGCTAGGGTTCCCTGCTAGGGTTCCCCACCTGTGTTTCGGGAGAGAGAGTTGAAGGGGAAATTTGAGGAGAGGAAAGAGGGGAGAGAGAGAGAGAGAGAGAGAGAGAGAGAGAGAGAGAGAGAGAGAGAGAGAGAGAGAGAGAGAGAGAGAGAGAGAGGGAGAGAGAGAGAGATGGGTAGGAGACGGAGTAGAGAGGGGAGGAGTGTGGGAAATGAGGGAGAGAGAGGGAAGAGCTGGGACATGTTGAGAGAGGAAAACAAGAGTGGAATGAGGGGTGAGAGAGAGAAAGAGACTGTCCCGGGTACCGCCGGATACCCGTAGCTAATATAGTAATAATATAAAAAAAAGAGTCGATCCAATAATACTTCTTCATGAAATTGAAGGTGACTACTTGCACTTTGGGTCGTAGGAGCCTCTTAGGAGTCCACATACACAGCCTCCTGCAGCTCTATCTACTGCGCCTCCAAGCAGCCTATTATAGGGAAGGACTCCACAGCCTCCTGCAGCTCTATCTACTGCGCCTCCAAGCAGCCTATTATAGGGAAGGACTCCAGAGACACCTGTCTGCTCTCCAGTTGGAACTTTAGGCCATCCAAGATATTAGCTGCTGCACGCCCCCAACACAGCAGGGCAGGGGAGGCACGACCCGCAGCTCCCAGGGGGGGAAGTGTCCGTAGCAGGGAACTGACTACAACTCCTCTAGCAAACTGCGCTCTACGGCGTATATCGTAGCTTCATTTGTACTGACGTAGGTAACCCTGCACGTATGAACCTGTCCTGGAGAACGGGGTCCAGAACGCTCTACGTTCTGGACCCTACGCTCTACGTTCTGGACCCTACGCTCTACGTTCTGGACCCTACGCTCTACGTTCTGGACCCTACGCTCTACGTTCTGGACCCTACGCTCTACGTTCTGGACCCTACGCTCTACGTTCTACGTTCTACGATGGTCTGTAGGACGCTCTACGGCAAGTGTGCTTCAGTTTGAGGAATTATCAGGGGAAGCGCCAAATCATTACGACTATATAGCACTGGGAAGGGATCAGGATAAGGATTTGGGATGGGACGGTGGGGAGGAATGGTGCCCAACCACCTGGACGGTCGGGGATTGAACGCCGACCTGCATGACCCGAGACCGTCGCTCTACCGTCCAGCCCAAGTGGTTGGGCATGAACTGGCGTGTATGTCCAGCTGCGCCAGGACTCGTCAAGCACTTATACCCGTGTTTGCTAACGAAACCTGTGCATCCTTTCATTAACCAGTTTATATAAACTCCGACCTCCGACCGAGTCTATCCATAATAACCTGATCCTGTGAACGATCTCGCTGTGCTTTCAAGCTCGTAAGCCGTTTAATATATTCAGAGTCGCCATTGTCGAGGAAAGATGCACAGGTTCCGTAAGTGCGACTCTTACTCCTGATAAATGCTGGCATAGGCCGCTAATGTTCTCTATTGCTCAAGACGGCCTCAGAAGATCCTGGCATCACCTCCCGAATATTTTTGAAGATAATTTGTCCTGGGTTCGTATCCTGGTCGGGGAGGATTGACTAGGCGAATATCCTTAACTGTAGCCTCTGTTCACCCAGCTGTGAATGGGTACCTGGTTGGTAAACGGTTTGCCGGGTCGTATTCCAGGGATAATTAAGATTAAGGACCTGCCCGAGACGTTATGTGTTCTAGTTGCCTTACAAGAATGTAAAAACTCTTGTATATGTTTGGTGTGGGTGTTTAATATTCACACTACGGCACACCTGGTACAATGTCAGGTGTGGAGGTTTAATACCCCCACTACCACACACCTGGTACAATGTCAGGTGTGGAGGTTTAATACCCCCACTACCACACACCTGGTACAAGAGTCAGGTGTGGAGGTTTAATACTCCCACTACCACACACCTGGTACAATGTCAGGTGTGGAGGTATAACATTAAGTACTAGCGTTCATAAATGTCTCACTTTCCCCTACTGACCACCTATGATCTCTCTGCAACAGACCGCATCTATAATGTATTATGTGTACCAAGAAAATTATACGCTAATGATAATCTGTAAATACATAAAAATAACACGTACAAGTTGTCATAGTTCTATGAATTGGTTTATGCAATTTTATCCTGAAGTTCATTTGACAATTTTCTCCAAAACACAAGAATGGGATTCGAAATAATATATATATACAAAATGCGAGTAAAACAATAACACTTTCACTCAAGCATTGTCACTCATGAGTTGATTGTCTTCACTCCAGAGAACACGTTCATGTGTGTGTGTTTTCCTAACTCCGGCTGGACCTCTGGACATTCACTATATGTTATACTGTGACGCGGTATTAGTATGTCAGACACTGATATACTGTATGATGTGCAGAACAGATCCCTGTCACCTGTGTTATTGTCTGTCACCTACACCATTCCCCTGTTACCTACATCATTCCCTGTCACCTACACCATTCCCTGTCACCTACACCATTCCCTGTCACCTACACCATTCCCTGTCACTTACACCATTCCCTGTCACCTACACCAATTCCTGTCACCTACACCATTTCCTGTCACCTTCACCATTCCCTGTCACCTACACCATTCCCCGTCACTTACACCATTCCCCGTCACTTACACCATTCCCTGTCACCTACACCATTCCCCGTCACCTTCACCATTCCCTGTCACCTACACCATTCCCTGTCACCTTCACCATTTCCTGTCACCTACACCATTCCCCGTCACTTACACCATTCCCTGTCACCTACACCATTCCCTGTCACCTACACCATTCCCCGTCACCTTCACCATTCCCTGTCACCTACACCATTCCCTGTCACCTACACCATTCTCTGTCACCTACACCATTCCCTGTCACCTACACCATTCCCTGTCACCTACACCATTCCCCGTCACCTTCACCATTCCCTGTCACCTACACCATTCCCTGTCACCTTCACCATTTCCTGTCACCTACACCATTCCCTGTCACCTTCACCATTTCCTGTCACCTACACCATTCCCTGTCACCTTCACCATTTCCTGTCACCTACACCATTTATCCGCTGATCCAAGACATGTTCGCTACTGTTACTTGTACAATTCCTCAGTCATCTTGAGGAGGCATGACCTGGCACCAGTTGCTCCACTTGACACTTGACACTCACCTATCTTTCATGGGCCTTGAATTTTCTCTTTCTTCCATTCTAGAACTTTGTAATGTTAAGTAGGTAAGTTTACGTTTGCAATGAGCGACCCTGAGGCCCATTCAGTCCCTTGAACCATTGCCTATTACATCCCATAAAAAAATCCCCTTCACTCTCCCCTCTTTGGGGTTCCCCTTTCCAACCCATCCTATTTTCTCCCTCTCTCCCAACTTGCCCTCCCTCCCTCCCTCTTTCCCTCTCGTTAGTCTTACCCTGCTCCCCGAGGTAAAGCAATAAGCAATATTTTTCATTAATCAACGTGAGACAGGTGGTGTGGCTTGGGTATTGATCTGCCTGGGTGGGTGTACTCGCCTATTGGTGCCTGCTGGCTCGAACATTAGTTCTTGGACCCCGCCTTTCCAGCCGCTGGATTGTCAAAAGCAATGCTTCTTGGCGTTTTTCACCATTATATCAACTTTTTAAATTATGAGTGGAGTTTGCTTCCACAACCTGCTCCTTTGGTTCAAAGTATTATATATGTCTCTATCATGTCTCTCCTTTCCTTTTATTTAGCTTCGTAGTATTTAATTCCCTCAGTCTCTCTCTGCTCATATCTTATCCGTAGCAATTCGAGCCTCGTTGCAAACTTATGAACCTTTTGTAGTTTCCTCGTGTGTTTCTTAAGATGGGGGGTTCCATGATGGGGCGGTATACTCTAAGACTGGTCTCACGTACGTGGTGTGCAGCGATCTAAATGTCTCCTTATTTAGGTTCCTAAAAGATGTTCAGGAACTCCCAGGTCTTTTTCTGTTACAGGGACTGCGAGTAAGTCGTTATATATATATATATATATATATATATATATATATATATATATATATATATATATATATATATATATATATATATATATATATATATATATATATATATATATATATATATATATATTGGTGTATACTGGCAGCAGGTTTTCTTTCAAACATGTTTCATTGAATATGACCGCATATTCTGTATTTATTATTTTCTGGTTTAGGGCTTCTATCCCTCTAACTATTTTCTTAGCATCAGGGCTTAATTGAAATAGGAGTTCTCCAAAACTCATTTTCGTACTTTTAAGGTGAAGAAAAGAAGTGATTTACTATAGAGTGTATTACACTTATTTGTATAATTTGCACGACGTTTCGAACCTCCATGGTTCATTCTCAAGTGAACAGATCTTACAATACTAGTTGATTTTATACCCGCATTAGGTCAGGTGATAATACAATGAAGGTGAAAATCCCCCCATGTTTTCACCTTCATTGTATTATCACCTGACCTAATGCGGGTATAAAATCAACTAGTATTGTAAGATCTGTTCACTTGAGAATGAACCATGGAGGTTCGAAACGTCGTGCAAATTATACAAATAAGTGTAATACACTCTATAGTAAATCACTTCTTTTCTTCACCTTAAAAGTACGAAAATGAGTTTTGGAGAACTCCTATTTCAATTAAGCCCTGATGCTAAGAAAATAGTTAGAGGGATAGAAGCCCTAAACCAGAAAATAATAAATACAGAATATGCGGTCATATTCAATGATATATATATATATATATATATACACATACATATATATATATTCCCGGGAAAGTTCAGTAGTTCGACCGTGGTGGGACCTCGTTACAAGCCTAACAACGGTAATTATATCATACTATATTTATAATATAGATATAATAATATCTTATTATTACTTAACTAGATAGTGATAGATCTTGGTGATAGATATATTATACTATATATAATATCTGTATGGTGAGCTGCAGATAAGTCGGGATACCAGTGACAGGTACATTAAAAAAGACATTATTTTTTGGCTGGAATGCCTGGTGATGAAACTGGAAACTTCTTGACGTAACCTGTCAACTTGCACGAGTAGTGTTGTGTTGACGCTCGCTGACCTACTGAGAGTATAGAATAACATTTCTCTAAGCTGTGATGACCAGACCACACACTAGAAGGTGAAGGGACGACGACGTTTCGGTCCGTCCTGGACCATTCTCAAGTCGATTGTGATCAGGACGTAGATGCAGGCAATAAATAGGCTAGAGAGCCTATTTGTTGCCTATTGTGACTCATCGCCTCAAAGCTGTGTTAATGTTGGGGTCACTCGTGACTTCAATGCTGAAAGTTGTGTTGACTTTTATGATTCTCTCTGGAACAGCGGGACGACTCAGATCTTCCCTCGTGGGAATTATTCTCGTGTGTCTTGGAGTACCAATAATATCCCCTATGGCTTCACTGTTATATTAGTTAAGTAGTTATACAAAGTAGTTTATACAAAGTACTGGTGAACAAGTTAGAAGTGGAGCGTTTTAATGAACTTGGATTCTAATACTACTCCATGTCAGATTTTCCATGACATTTTTAGCATTAATTACAAATATTCCTATCACGATGTTTTTTATTTGAATCTATGATGTAGGTAGTCTACAATGTATTTCATCTAAACAAAAATTATAATCATTGGTACATCACATTAATGACTAATACCAGGAATTGTTTTTATTACTATATTTAGATACATTTGTTTTTATACAGCTACTCTAGCCTATATAAAGGCTTACATAGTGTGTCAAGGCTAGTGTGTCTAGCTACAAGATGCTAAAAAAAATCCCCTTCTCACAGGATGGTTAGTCATGCAGTTAGTCCACTATAGTCGGCTTTTTTTATTAATACATAAGGTACATCTGCATTAGTGCAGCTACCCTAGACTATATGAAGTGGAGTACAGTGTGTCAAAAAAGCTAACTACGTCTTTTTTTTTTTTTTATTAACATATTAGGTACATCTGCATTAGTGCAGCTACCCTAGACAATATGAAGTGGAGTACAGTGTGTCAAAAAAAAAGCTAACTAGGTGATGCTAAAAAATCCCCATCACACAGGATGGTTAGTCATACAGAGGCATGTGATAAGCGGTCTGCACTGGCAGACTCCGGATGCATTTTGAGGATATCAGCAACACAAGATTGAATAAGGTAGCAGTGGTAATACAAGTCCCCATCTCGCAGGATGGTTAGTCATACGGAGCCATGTGTTTAATAGCCTGCACTGGCAAATTTTGGGTATACTGTGAGGATATCTTCAAGAATACGAGAGTGAATAAAGTAATTGCAGAGCTCCAGGTACCTCATGCCAACTGGTCTGAAAGGTCTAATAACTGGGCATTCAGTGATGCAGTGCGGGAGATCATGCCGTAGTTCCTGCTCACAGAGTTTGCAACTGGAGTGCTCAGGATTGGGAGACCCGTCACCTGCAGCCACCTGCCACAGGTAACGGTAACCCAACCTGATCCTTGCAACCACTGTGTCGCACAGTCTAGTGGACGTTTTGTGCTGTCCATAGATGTAGGTTTCAGATCTGAACAAATCATAGCTTTTTATACTAGTACTTTCAGAACGTTGGGAGTCAGTAAATTCTTTCCAGTCGGCACTGGTCAGGGATAGTGTCACACTCTACGGTAACTACCCGCCCCAATTCACTTAGGTTGCTGTTTGGTGCTAATGAGGAATTTATAGTGCATATGAATATTTTCATAGTGGTGCCAGCGGAGATGAATTTCAGCTTTTGGTCCTCACCTACCGAGATGCCGACCGTTTAGGTCAATGAATCCCTATCTACATGTCTCGTATCATAACTGATTTTTATTCAGGGTAATGAGTTAGCTTGTTGAACCTTTCTGTCTAGTTCATTTAATTGTACATTTTAACTGTTCCACTGTGGCTTCCAGACTTGTTCTCTTCCTCTTTTGTTATTTCATGTGTAAGTACGACTTGGAATGTGTGTGTGCGAGTGTTTGGGTGTGTGTACGTTTGTTTGAGTGTGTGTATAAGTGTTTGGGTGTGTGTACATGTGTTTGAGTGTGCATGTAAGTGTTTGGGTGTGTGTAGTAGTAGTTGGATGTGTACGAGATTTTGGGTGTATGTGTACGAATACATTGGAGTGTGTAGGAGTGTTTGGGTGTGACTAGGAGAGTTTGAGATGTGAGTGTACGCTTGCTTGGGTGTGTGTAGGATTTGTTTTGGTGTGTGTGTGTAGGAGTATTTGGGTGTGTGTTCCAGTGTTTGGGTGTGTACTAGTGTTTGTGTGAGCGTACGAGTGCTAAGGTATGTGAACAACAGTTTGGATGTTTGTGTAGTAGTTTTAGGGTGTAAATAAGCTTTGGGTGTGTGTAGGAGTACATGGGGGTATGTGTACGGGATGTTTGAGTTTATGTACAAGTGTACGGGAGTTTCTAGGAGTTTTTGGGTGAATTTAGGAGTGCTCACACACCACCTGAAACCCCCTTCACCCGATAATCCACCAACTCAGGAAACTCCCACTGTTTAGGTGGTGGGGCTTGAGGTGGTACCAGTGGTTGAGGAGGAAGTGCTTGAGGTGGAAGCAGTGGTTGAGGGGGTGGTGCTTGAGGGGGTACCAGTGGTTGAGGGGGTGGTGCTTGAGGGGGTACCAGTGGTTGAGGGGGGTGGTGCTTGAGGTGGTTGAGTGGAGGTGCTTGAGGTGGTTGAGGGAGTGGTGCTTGAGGTGGAAGCAGTGGTTGAGGGGGTGGTGCTTGAGGGGGTACCAGTGGTTGAGGGGGTGGTGCTTGAGGGGGTACCAGTGGTTGAGGGGGGTGGTGCTTGAGGTGGTTGAGTGGAGGTGCTTGAGGTGGTTGAGGGGGAGGTGCTTGAGGTGGTTGAGGGGGAGGTGGTTGAGGGGGAGGTGCTTGAGGTGGTTGAGGGGGAGGTGCTTGAGGGGGAGGTGCTTAAGGGGGTTGAGGGGAGGTGCTTGAGGTGGTTGAGGGGAGGTGGTTGAGGGGGAGGTGGTTGAGGGGGAGGTGCTTGAGGTGGTTGAGGGGGGAGGTGCTTGAGGTGGTTGAGGGGGAGGTGCTTGAGGTGGTTGAGGGGGAGGTGCTTGAGGTGGTTGAGGGGGAGGTGCTTGAGAGGGAGGTGCTTGAGAGAGTTGAGGGGGAGGTGGTTGAGGGGGAGGTGCTTGAGGTGGTTGAAGGGGAGGTGCTTGAGGTGGTTGAGGGGGAGGTGCTTGAGGTGGTTGAGGGGGAGGTGCTTGAGGTGGTTGAAGGGGAGGTGCTTGAGGTGGTTGAGGGGGAGGTGCTTGAGGTGGTTGAGGGGGGGGGGTGGTTGACGAGGAGGTGCAGTAATGTGGGATAATGAGCTAAGAGGTCATTGACGCCTTGAATATAAATGAGTCATTGATGAGGCAGAGGACGCAGTCTATTATCATACACCCCAATGGTCCCCGTCGGCGGCCTCTCTTGTTCCCCGCCTCTCTTGTTCCCCGCCTCTCTTGTTCCACCGCCTCTCTTGTTCCCCGCCTCTCTTGTTCCACCGCCTCTCTTGTTCCCACCGCCTCTCTTGTTCCACCGCCTCTCTTGTTCCCCGCCTCTCTTGTTCCACCGCCTCTCTTGTTCCCCCGCCTCTCTTGTTCCACCGCCTCTCTTGTTCCACCGCCTCTCTTGTTCCACCGCCTCTCTTGTTCCCACCGCCTCTCTTGTTCCACCGCCTCTCTTGTTCCCCCGCCTCTCTTGTTCCACCGCCTCTCTTGTTCCACCGCCTCTCTTGTTCCACTGCCTCTCTTGTTCCACCGCCTCTCTTGTTCCCACCGCCTCTCTTGTTCCACCGCCTCTCTTGTTCCACCGCCTCTCTTGTTCCCACCGCCTCTCTTGTTCCACTGCCTCTCTTGTTCCACCGCCTCTCTTGTTCCACTGCCTCTCTTGTTCCACCGCCTCTCTTGTTCCACCGCCTCTCTTGTTCCCACCTCTTCTCTTGTTCCACTGCCTCTCTTGTTCCACCGCCTCTCTTGTTCCATCGCCTCTCTTGTTCCCACCGCCTCTCTTGTTCCACCGCCTCTCTAGTTCCACTGCCTCTCTTGTTCCACCGCCTCTCTTGTTCCCACCGCCTCTCTTGTTCCCACCGCCTCTCTTGTTCCCACCGCCTCTCTTGTTCCACTGCCTCTCTTGTTCCACCGCCTCTCTTGTTCCACTGCCTCTCTTGTTCCACCGCCTCTCTTGTTCCCACCGCCTCTCTTGTTCCACCGCCTCTCTTGTTCCACCGCCTCTCTTGTTCCCCGCCTCTCTTGTTCCACCGCCTCTCTTGTTCCACCGCCTCTCTTGTTCCCACCGCCTCTCTTGTTCCACCGCCTCTCTTGTTCCACCGCCTCTCTTGTTCCACCGCCTCTCTTGTTCCACCGCCTCTCTTGTTCCCACCGCCTCTCTTGTTCCACCGCCTCTCTTGTTCCCACCGCCTCTCTTGTTCCCCGCCTCTCTTGTTCCACCGCCTCTCTTGTTCCACCGCCTCTCTTGTTCCACCGCCTCTCTTGTTCCCCCGCCTCTCTTGTTCCACCGCCTCTCTTGTTCCACCGCCTCTCTTGTTCCACCGCCTCTCTTGTTCCCACCGCCTCTCTTGTTCCACCGCCTCTCTTGTTCCCCCGCCTCTCTTGTTCCACCGCCTCTCTTGTTCCACCGCCTCTCTTGTTCCACTGCCTCTCTTGTTCCACCGCCTCTCTTGTTCCCACCGCCTCTCTTGTTCCACCGCCTCTCTTGTTCCACCGCCTCTCTTGTTCCCACCGCCTCTCTTGTTCCACTGCCTCTCTTGTTCCACCGCCTCTCTTGTTCCACTGCCTCTCTTGTTCCACCGCCTCTCTTGTTCCACCGCCTCTCTTGTTCCCACCTCTTCTCTTGTTCCACTGCCTCTCTTGTTCCACCGCCTCTCTTGTTCCATCGCCTCTCTTGTTCCCACCGCCTCTCTTGTTCCACCGCCTCTCTAGTTCCACTGCCTCTCTTGTTCCACCGCCTCTCTTGTTCCCACCGCCTCTCTTGTTCCCACCGCCTCTCTTGTTCCCACCGCCTCTCTTGTTCCACTGCCTCTCTTGTTCCACCGCCTCTCTTGTTCCACTGCCTCTCTTGTTCCGCCGCCTCTCTTGTTCCCACCGCCTCTCTTGTTCCACCGCCTCTCTTGTTCCACCGCCTCTCTTGTTCCCCGCCTCTCTTGTTCCACCGCCTCTCTTGTTCCACCGCCTCTCTTGTTCCCACCGCCTCTCTTGTTCCACCGCCTCTCTTGTTCCACCGCCTCTCTTGTTCCACCGCCTCTCTTGTTCCCACCGCCTCTCTTGTTCCCACCGCCTCTCTTGTTCCACCGCCTCTCTTGTTCCCACCGCCTCTCTTGTTCCCCGCCTCTCTTGTTCCACCGCCTCTCTTGTTCCACCGCCTCTCTTGTTCCACCGCCTCTCTTGTTCCACCGCCTCTCTTGTTCCCACCGCCTCTCTTGTTCCACCGCCTCTCTTGTTCCACCGCCTCTCTTGTTTCCACCGCCTCTCTTGTTCCACCGCCTCTCTTGTTCCCACCGCCTCTATTGTTCCCCGCCTCTCTTGTTCCACCGCCTCTCTTGTTCCACCGCCTCTCTTGTTCCCACCGCCTCTCTTGTTCCACCGCCTCTCTTGTTCCACCGCCTCTCTTGTTCCACCGCCTCTCTTGTTCCCCGCCTCTCTTGTTCCACCGCCTCTTTTGTTCCACCGCCTCTCTTGTTCCCACCGCCTCTCTTGTTCCCACCGCCTCTCTTGTTCCACCGCCTCTCTTGGCCTTGGAGGTTTAGGGTGCCGCTGAGGACTGTGTATTAGGGCGCCTGACGGCCTTGAAAGTAACACTTGGAGGCACACGACGCTTCACTCTCTGCTGGAAACGTGTATGTGACTACAATATTGACCTGCAATGTGGATCACTTGTATTGCTGAGCTTAATATTAACATTTCAGTGGCAAATAATTACAAAATAATTATCTGCATAAGTTCCAGCTTAAGCCAGAGCGACAATTAACACTAAGTGCATAGAGCAACGCTTAATTTATCACTTGGATTTAAATCTTGATACAACATATTCCTTCATGAGCTTTGTGCTGGTGTTGTGGTGGGTCCTACACCCAGGTCCTGCTGGTGTTGTGGTGGGTCCTACACCCAGGCCCGGCTGTTGTACATGGGTCCCTGCTGGTGTTGTGGGGGGTCCTACACCCAGGTCCTGCTGTTGTACATGGGTCCCTGCTGGTGTTGTGGGGGGTCCTACACCCAGGCCCTGCTAGTGTTGTGGTGGGTCCTACACCCAGGTCCTGCTGGTGTTGTGGTGGGTCCTACACCCAGGTCCTGCTGTTGTACATGGGCCCCTGCTGGTGTTGTGGTGAGTCCTACACCCAGGTCCTGCTGTTGTACATGGGCCCCTGCTGGTGTTGTGGTGGGTCCTACACCCAGGTCCTGCTGTTGTACATGGGCCCCTGCTGGTGTTGTGGTGGGTCCTACACCCAGGTCCTGCTGTTGTACATGGGTCCCTGCTGGTGTTGTGGGGGGTCCTACACCCAGGTCCTGCTGTTGTACATGGGCCCCTGCTGGTGTTGTGGTGGGTCCTACACCCAGGTCCTGCTGTTGTACATGGGCCCCTGCTGGTGTTGTGGGGGGTCCTACACCCAGGTCCTGCTGTTGTACATGGACCCCTGCTGGTGTTGTGGTGGGTCCTACACCCAGGCCCTGCTGTTGTACATGGGTCCCTGCTGGTGTTGTGGGGGGTCCTACACCCAGGCCCTGCTAGTGTTGTGGTGGGTCCTACACCCAGGTCCTGCTGTTGTACATGGGCCCCTGCTGGTGTTGTGGTGGGTCCTACACCCAGGTCCTGCTGTTGTACATGGGCCCCTGCTGGTGTTGTGGGGGGTCCTACACCCAGGTCCTGCTGTTGTACATGGGTCCCTGCTGGTGTTGTGGTGGGTCCTACACCCAGGCCCTGCTGTTGTACATGGGTCCCTGCTGGTGTTGTGGGGGGTCCTACACCCAGGCCCTGCTAGTGTTGTGGTGGGTCCTACACCCAGGTCCTGCTGTTGTACATGGGCCCCTGCTGGTGTTGTGGTGAGTCCTACACCCAGGTCCTGCTGTTGTACATGGGCCCCTGCTGGTGTTGTGGTGGGTCCTACACCCAGGTCCTGCTGTTGTACATGGGCCCCTGCTGGTGTTGTGGTGGGTCCTACACCCAGGTCCTGCTGTTGTACATGGGTCCCTGCTGGTGTTGTGGTGGGTCCTACACCCAGGTCCTGCTGTTGTACATGGGCCCCTGCTGGTGTTGTGGTGGGTCCTACACCCAGGTCCTGCTGTTGTACATGGGCCCCTGCTGGTGTTGTGGTGGGTCCTACACCCAGGTCCTGCTGTTGTACATGGGTCCCTGCTGGTGTTGTGGTGGGTCCTACACCCAGGTCCTGCTGTTGTACATGGGCCCCTGCTGGTGTTGTGGTGAGTCCTACACCCAGGTCCTGCTGTTGTACATGGGCCCCTGCTGGTGTTGTGGTGGGTCCTACACCCAGGTCCTGCTGTTGTACATGGGTCCCTGCTGGTGTTGTGGGGGGTCCTACACCCAGGTCCTGCTGTTGTACATGGGTCCCTGCTGGTGTTGTGGTGGGTCCTACACCCAGGTCCTGCTGTTGTACATGGGTCCCTGCTGGTGTTGTGGGGGGTCCTACACCCAGGCCCTGCTAGTGTTGTGGTGGGTCCTACACCCAGGTCCTGCTGGTGTTGTGGTGGGTCCTACACCCAGGTCCTGCTGTTGTACATGGGTCCCTGCTGGTGTTGTGGTGGGTCCTACACCCAGGTCCTGCTGTTGTACATGGGCCCCTGCTGGTGTTGTGGTGGGTCCTACACCCAGGTCCTGCTGTTGTACATGGGCCCCTGCTGGTGTTGTGGTGGGTCCTACACCCAGGTCCTGCTGTTGTACATGGGTCCCTGCTGGTATACACAGGTCATCTAATAAATAACAAAACGTATATCAATACGCTAAACATCTACTGTGCCTCACTGTGAGACACTGTAGATGTCAGTAACATTCAGAAATTGCCGCGAAAATAAATGTAGCAATAAAACAGGTTAATAAATCTGATAAAATTAAAACAAACTAACAATTCAAAACAAATAAATTGGGGGTCGCAAATGAGGTGTTGAGCAGGCGAGTGAAGGCATGCAGAGTCGAACCCCAACTCACTGATTTATGTATACTGTAAATCTGTCTAGGCATTAGTGCCGCCTGCCTGACCGCCATGGTCCTAATACTCTACACCAGGGTCAGGGGCCCCTAGATGCATACTACAGCCTTATACTGTATGCTGTAGTCTGATGCTGTATTTGCTAACTGTGGAGTCTGATGATGCATACTCTAGTCTGATGCTACTAATTGTAGTCGGATGCTACTAAATATAGTTTGACGCTGCAAACTGTAGTCGAATGCTTCAGACTGAAGTCTGATGCTTCAAACTGTAGTCGAATGCTTCGGACTGAACTCTGATGCTTCAAACTGTATAGTCTTATGCTGCATACTATAATATGACGCTACTATCTATAGTCTGAAGCTGTAAACTATAGTTTTATTAAGATGGTCTCGATCATTGAGATTTTTGTTGAAACTTTAATAGTGAATTCAATATAACCTCTCGACCCCACGAGACCAGAGTAGAGACTCACCACTGTCTCAAGAGGGAGATCTTGTCTCACAAGTCTCCTCTCCTACATACGTATCTTGCGAGGCAGTCGACAGTAGCAGCAAAATGTTTTATATCTTGACTTTAGGAAGATCTTCGGCACTGTACCCACAAAGAGCTGGTATGAACAGGCTGAAGCCTACGGGATGGAGGTTAAGTTTTCAGTTGTAACGTATCGTGGTTGAAGGACCTGAAGGTGAATGTTGCCATACACAGGATGAGGTCACGGTGGAGAAATGCCACTAGTGTACCTCAGGGGTGTGTTTGGGGGCCTTTGTTGTTCATGATGTGTGTCCTCGACCAACATATTCGGGTTACCTTGAGATGGTTTCGAGGCTTAGCGTTCCCGCGGCCCGGTCCTCGACCAGGAATCATAAAAATCCCTCAGTTTAAACAGCAAATTTACATACAACAGAGAAGTGTGTAGAGAATTGTGAATTCCAGTGAGGACTTGATAGAACTTCGGAAAGATCTAACCAGACTGAATAACTTAACAGAAAGATAAAAATCAATTGGATCAATTAATGAGGTGACTCGAAGCAGCGCACCTTACCTCTTAGCTCAAAGGTAGAACAAGAGTCATGACTACAGTTGCCTGGAATCAACGTACGCAGTAAAGCGAATAGATTGGTGAAGTTTTAACCAGAAGCGTCACCAAGAAATGCACAATTATCCCCCCCCCCTCCCAATTCTATTTCCCCCCCTTGAAGGTCTCCACATGAACTATGCCGTCCAGATCTAACCACCGTATTAGAGAATGATAATAGATTAGTCCTCCCCCCCCCCCCCTCCGTCTAGAAATTCCAGTGTAACGAGAATGAGAATTCGAGAATATCGAGAATTCCTGGTATTTGAGACCTTCTATACCAGGAAAAGTTGAAAACGCTCAGCCTGCATTTCCTGCAGAGACCCGAGGAAGATGTATCAATATAGGAAATATAAGCGAGGACGTGAAACTAATAAACAAAGTAATAACCGCACAACATATAAGATATATATCCTCAGATATAAAGTTCAGCTCCAACAAAAATTCTGGGAATTGTAGATTCATCAGAGAGGTTGGCGAGGGGAACAGGTTACCCTCCAACACCAAGGAGTTAAATAATAATAATAATAATAATAATAATAATAATAATAATAATAATAATAATAATAATAATAATAATTTATTTAGGAAAACGTACATACATAGTTGCAGCGTTACAGTACAAACATTCTGTTTGATTTAAAGATAGAGGTAGTGCATACAATACCTAAAGCCACTAATACGAGCATAGCATTTCGGGCAATGGTATTGCCCGAAACTGTAATAATGGTATACCATTATTAAATGGTATTGATAGCTTTAAAATGTACCCAATCCAATTTATACCGAGTATACATACTCAGCATTTATAAAACTACCTTTGTAAAGCCTATTTACGTATGTATAGTCTCAAATATATATCAAAATAAGATGAAGAATATCGTTGAATAGAGGACAGTAACGAAGAACAACGTAGAGAAGAGAATGGTAACGAAGAACAACGTAGAGAAGAGGTTGGTAACGAAGAACAACGTAGAGAAGAGGATGGTAACGAAGAACAACGTAGAGAAGAGGTTGGTAACGAAGAACAACGTAGAGAAGAGGTTGGTAACGAAGAACAACGTAGAGAAGAGGTTGGTAACGAAGAACAATGTAGAGAAGAGGTTGGTAACGTAGAACAACGTAGAGAAGAGGATGGTAACGTAGAACAACGTAGAGAAGAGGTTGGTAACGAAGAACAACGTAGAGAAGAAGATGGTAACGAAGAACAACGTAGAGAAGAAGATGGTAACGAAGAACAACGTAGAGAAGAAGATGGTAACGAAGAACAACGTAGAGAAGAGGATGGTAACGTAGAACAACGTAGAGAAGAGGATGGTAACGAAGAACAACGTAGAGAAGAAGATAGCAACGAATAAACTCAAAATACAGTTTTGAAATTTCAATTTTCCAGACAATATTCATTTTATTTATATAACTTTCAATTACTGTATTTAATTTATTTGGCATTTTTACGCTTTCATTAAAAACGAAAAAAATTACAATTCCTCAATAATGCTGCAATTGCGCAGTCGTCGGCAAATAAAAAATAATAAGGGTACTTAATTGCTCGATTTCCTTCAGTTTAAGGTCAAAATGCAGCAACAAATCATGGCTTGAAATATTATCACCAACACTAAATATTTTTTACCAAAAATTGGCTTGATGATTAGTCCATCAGACCCACCCGGGTGAATAGAATACTTGCAGGCAATTGATAGGGTGGCAATAAAGGAATTTTTTTACAATATGTATATATATATACATTATATATATATATATATATATATATATATATATATATATATATATATATATATATATATATATATATATATATATATATATATATATATATATATATATATATGTCGTACCTAGTAGCCAGAACGCACTTCTCGGCCTACTATGCAAGGCCCGATTTGCCTAATAAGCCACGTTTTCATGAATTAATTGTTTTTCAACTACCTAACCTACCTAACCTAACCTAACCTAACTTTTTTCGGCTACCTAACCTAACCTAACCTATAAAGATAGGTTAGGTTAGGTTAGGTAGGGTTGGTTAGGTTCGGTCATATATCTACGTTAATTTTAACTCCATTAAAAAAAAATTGACCTCTTACATAAAGAAATGGGTAGCTTTATCATTTCATAAGAAAAAAATTAGAGAAAATATATTAATCCAGGAAAACTTGCCTTATTAGGCAAATCGGGCCTTTCATAGTAGGCTGAGAAGTGCGTTCTGGCTACTAGGTACGACATTATATATATATATATATATATATATATATATATATATATATATATATATATATATATATATATATATATATATATATATATATATATATATATATATATATAGTGTGTGTGTATATCACGGAGAAATTAACACATGATAAACAATGTGAAAATGTTAAACCACGAACGAAAGATTTTTTTTGTGTACGTTCGTATTTAATAATACATCTTTAGAAAGATAAATTTACAATGCAATAGTGTGGCTATATAGGCAGGAATGATTTGAGGTGAGAAACAATGTCTTTAAAGAGATAAGGGGATATTATTAATAGGGCATTATTGGGATGAATGGGTATCAATGATTCTACTTAAATCGCCCTTTAACTGATCAATCAAAAATGGATCTAAATGATTCAATTCACTGTTATAGTTCAAATTACATGACTTTGTAATCTGTATTAAACCAGATTCAATAATGTTCCTATTGAAAATGCTTTTACAAACCGTTATTGAAGAAGTCATCTCCCAGTCAATTAGGGGAGAACTTTCTGACAAATAAACAAAGCATTTGACAATTGGCCATGTCTTACAGGGTATTTATGTTGGAAAATTCTAAATTTCAAATCATTGGATGTTTGCCCTATAAAGAACCTATAACAATCTTTTCAAATTATATTGTAAATTACATAATCATCACTACGAGGACTGTTTCCAACTAGTACTTTTCCAACAGTATTTTCGTAATTGAACAATACATGTCTAACAAAGTTTCAAGGCCTTGATAATATTTTCGAACACAGAAAAATATGGTAAACAAAGCACATTCTTGGACGAATTTTCTCACTGCATATATTATTACAATATGTTCGATGTGCTTTGGTACGATAAACTTCCAAAAAACTCAGTGGATAACAAAGCTTGAGACCAATAGAATCAATATTCTTAAACTCTTCATCAAAGAATTCTGGGCTAACAACCGCAAGAACTCTTAGATCCATAAAGGAACAAAATGTTTGTTTCACATTGTATCTTCGCCCTCAGTAACACTGAAGTTACAAAATCAAGTGAACGTTCTATTTTCAAAAACTTGCATACAGCAAAAAGAATCTTTCCTCACATCATACTTTCTGACCGGAAAAATTCTCTGATGGATGAAATCTACAGTGACCTACATAGAAAAATACATCAGTTACAAAATATTCTAAAACGTTAGAAAGTCTGATAAAAAATAATGATTGGACAAAGAAATCTAATCCAAACAATGTGATGAATTTATCATATAAACCGATAAGTGAAAATGTGGTTACCGCTATAGGTTATGGTATGTCATTTGCCACTTCAAATCAACTTTCTGTGGTTAAAATTTCTAGTTCATTGATACAGCTTGAAAAACAAAGCATTCTCTCTCAGCAAAACTCAAACTTGGTTAGAGGTATTGTTTATAGTTCAATGTTGACTTCTCAAACAAACATTTCCCTGAAAGGTTGAGACGAAGCTTACAGGAGCTAGAAGCCGACCCCTCCATTCACAAAACAAAGGCTGACACAGCCAGCTCTGTTGTTATTTTAAACGAGGAGGAATGTATTTCCAAAATGAATGATCTCCGCCAAGATTCTTCTACATACACCAAACTCAGAAAAAATCCTCTTGATGACATTATCAAGTCCTTCAATAGCAGCTTGAGGAAGTTTTTAAGAAGCCATAAAGATCTTCTTAATCAATTTAGTACCTCATTACCATATATCTAAGGCCTTGTCAAGACCCATAAGCCTAACTATCCCATGAGGCCTCTCATCAGTTCTGTGGGATCCATTTCTTACAAGCTTTCTAAATGGCTCACTAAAATCCTGTCCCATAATTGTTAGGAACTATTTCCTCTTCTCATTTGACCAAATCTATTGGATTAGTTAACAAACTGAATAGTGTTAAATCAATCCTGATGTCAGGTTAATCAGTTTTGACGTTTGTTTTTTGTTTATAAAGGTGCCGGTTGATGATATTCTTGATTACTTTGCTCATGAATTAATGACCCATGTATTACCTCTGTCTGATATTATTGTCAATCTCTTTAAGCTGTGTATAAACGAATGTAAATTTACTTTTAATAATGAGTATTATTTAGAGACTTTTGACATGGCAATGGGAAATCCTTTATCGCCATTGCTTTCAAACGTGTATTTGGAATTTTTCGATATATTTTGTTTTTTTCAAAAATAACTCCTAGAATCATTTCATTATTTAGATATGTTGGTGTTTTGTGTATTTAGTCCACAAATGTAAATTCAGACGAATTTGTAGCTAAACTTAATGATCAAGTCACCTCAATAAAATTTAATATAGACTGAAATTGATAGATGTTTGCAATTCTTAAATATACTTATTCAAAGGGAAGATTTGTCACTAAAGTTTAGTGTTTACAGAAAGTCTACGAATAATTTATCTCATGTTCATTATTTCTCAGGGCATAGATACAATGTGAAACAATAAATTTTTTCCTCTATGTTTCTAAGAGCTTTTCGGGTTGTTAGTCCAGAATTCTTAGATGAAGATTTTAAGAATATTGATTCTATTGGTCTCAAGCTTTGTTATCCACTGAGTTTTTTGGAAGTTTGCCGTACCAAAGCACATCGTACATATTATAATAATATATGCAGTGAGAAAATTCGCAAAAAAATGTTTTTTATGTTTACCACATTTTTACGGATTCGAAAATAGTATCAAGACCTTGAAACTTTTTGATACATGTATTGGTTAATGACGAAAATACTGTTGGAAAACTGTTACTTATAAACAGCCCTACCTTGAGGTGCTTCTACCTTGAGGTGCTTCCGGGGCTTAGTGTCCCCGCGGCCCGGTCGTCGACCAGGCCTCCTGGTTGCTGGACTGATCAACCAGGCTGTTAGACGCGACTGCTCGCAGCCTGACGTATGAGTCACAGCCAGGTTGATCAGGTATCCTCGTAGTGATAATTGTATCATTTACAAAATATCATGAAAAGACAGTAATAACTTCTATATACGGCAAACATCCAAAGATTTGACATTTAGAATTTCGCAACATAAATACTCTGAAAGACAAAGCCAATTATCTAATGTTTTGTTTGTTTATTTGTAAGAAAGTTCTAACCAAATTGACTGGGAGAGGACTTCTTCAATAGCGAATTGTAAAAAAATTCAATTGAAACATTATTGAATCTGCTTTAATACAGAATACAAAATCATGTATTTTTTATCATTATTAGTGATTTGTATAATTTACATCCATTTTTGATTGATCAGTTAAAGGGCAATTTCAGTAGGATTACTGATTCACATTTATCTTAATAATACCATATTAATATCCCCTTATCTCATTAAAGACATTTTTTCTCATCTCACCTCATTCCTACTGATATATCCACATCACTGTATTGTAAATCCATTCTTTTGAAGATATATTATTAAAACAAAAGTATTTAAGGAAATTCCTGTCTTACTCCTTTCTCGTAGTCTGATATATATATGTCGTACCTAGTAGCCAGAACGCACTTTTCAGCCTACTATGCAAGGCCCGATTTGCCTAATAAGCCAAGTTTTCATGAAATAATTGTTTTTCGACTACCTAACCTACCTAACCTAACCTAACCTAACCTAACTTTTTCGGCTGCCTAACCTAACCTAACCTATAAAGATAGGTTAGGTTAGGTTAGGTAGGGTTGGTTAGGTTCGGTCATATATCTACGTTAATTTTAACTCCAATAAAAAAAATTGGCCTCATACATAATGAAATGGGTAGCTTTATCATTTCATAAGAAAAAAATTAGAGAAAATATATTAATTCATGAAAACTTGGCTTATTAGGCAAATCGGGCCTTGCATAGTAGGCCGAGAAGTGCGTTCTGGCTACTAGGTACGACATATACATATATATATATATATATATATATATATATATATATATATATATATATATATATGTCGTACCTAGTAGCCAGAACTCACTTCTCAGCCTACTATTCAAGGCCCGATTTGCCTAATAAGCCAAGTTTTCCTGAATTAATATATTTACTATAATTTTTTTCTTATGAAATGATAAAGCAACCCTTTTCTCTATGTATGAGGTCAATTTTTTTTTTATTGGAGTTAAAATTAACGTAGATATATGACCGAACCTAACCAACCCTACCTAACCTAACCTAACCTATATTTATAGGTAAGGTTAGGTTAGGTAGCCAAAAAAAGCTAGGTTAGGTTAGGTTAGGTAGGTTAGGTAGACGAAAAAACATTAATTCATGAAAACTTGGCTTATTAGGCAAATCGGGCCTTGAATAGTAGGCTGAGAAGTGCGTTCTGGCTATTAGGTACGACATATATATATATATATATATATATATATATATATATATATATATATATATATATATATATATATATATATATATATATATATATATATATATACAAACATATGTGTGTGTGTGTTTGAGAATATTATAAAGTAAATATAATAGTTACAAAATTCTGGTCTTGTTCTCTGCCTTCTCTTCATCTCCCGAGGAAATACAATCTATTTGAGGATTACTGTGAAAAGTTGTTAGACATATTGCAGGGTGTAGGACACGAGGGACACCTTGGAGGGTGTAGGACACGAGGGACACCTTGGAGGGTGTAGGACAAGAGGGACACCTTGGAGGGTGTAGGACAAGAGGGACACCTTGGAGGGTGTAGGACAAGAGGGACACCTTGGAGGGTGTAGGACACGAGGGACACCTTGGAGGGTGTAGGACACGAGGGACACCTTGGAGGGTGTAGGACACGAGGGACACCTTGGAGGGTGTAGGACACGAGGGACACCTTGGAGGGTGTAGGACACGAGGGACACCTTGGAGGGTGTAGGACACGAGGGACACCTTGGAGGGTGTAGGACAAGAGTGACACCTTGGAGGGTGTAGGACACGAGGGACACCTTGGAGGGTGTAGGACACGAGGGACACCTTGGAGGGTGTAGGACACGAGGGACACCTTGGAGGGTGTAGGACAAGAGGGACACCTTGGAGTGTGTAGGACGCAGGAGGGCCGCCCACACTTGTCCCCGGACAACGCACCAGAAGAGTGACGCACGCAACTTCACTCTGGAGAGCGCCGGCCCGGGCGCCACAGTGTTGCCAAGCTCCCCCCGCCTCCCACCCTACACCCAACACCCGCACAATCTTTCCATCTATGATCTTTCCCTCGCTCCTAGTGTACCACTCTCTCGCGTCTCCACACCGCAGCGTCCCAGAGCGTCTATAATTCAGCAGACATTAGTGATAAGGCATAATCTGGAGGAGGGGAGTGTGGCACTAGTGATGGCGGCGTTAACCAACAAGTGACTGTCGCCGGCCGCTGGCGCCGCAAGCTCAGTCTAGCTCAGGCTCCCGCGCAGCTCACACACCCTCGCGCCTCCCTTGCTGACCACTGCACACCTCTACCGACCCTCTTGGCACACTTACCACCTTCAACCCGACTCAGCAACAACCTGAAAATACTCTCCCTGCCTCCCTCTCGCCTCCACCATCGAGCCAGTAACACACACGGTCTTAATATTCACTAAACGTTGACGATATACAGGGGGAAGGTCACTGCTCAGAGACTTCTAACGATCACGAGACGGACACGCTTGAGCCCCTGAGGTTATTAATCTTCCTGGTGACCTGTCGAGCACACACAGGCACGCCAGCTCTTGGTGAATGGTTCGGAGATCTGTTGGTGCAGCTTAGGCGGTGTTTACCTCGTGCGGGCACCAGCGCAGTCACCAACGCAGTCACCAACTTGTAAACAAGTGTTCAACAAGCACTTAACGCGGTACCTTGCAAGTGCTCACAGCGGCCTGTGGGGAGAGACATACATAGCCTGTGTAAGTGCAGCTTGAGGTTTACCTGCACAGGTATTCGCGAGGCCTCCAGTGCCCCGCTTTTTTTCTATCTTAAGTGTTGCCCATTCGTCGCCACAATTAATATGGCGGCAGCACTAGTGGCCCGCGGGCCGGTCCGTTCGCGGTCCACTGAGATCCTGTGTGCGGGCTCCTTCAGCATCGTGGTGGACAGTGTGGACGGGGACGTGACGGGCGGCGCCGCTGACGACGAGGTCTTCGGGGAGGACGGCGGTGGGGGAGACACCGACGCCCGCAGCGACGTCTCCAACGCCTCCAGCCGCGGCTCCAGGACCTCCATCACCAAGGAGGAGGCCGACGCCAAGCTCGCGCTCTTCAAGGTCAGTCTCTCAGTCTCGTTCACTCTTCACCCATTATTCTAAATTATTTTTCTTGACGCTGCACTTCAAATCCACACGAGGGAGGGCACAGTGAGGCCCTCAAATCCAGCGCTTGAGGGCCTCACTCTGTAACAGTGCAACAAAAGTCTCACCACCGGCTGGTAGATATATATACTGTGTTGAGGATATATATTCCCGGTGGGCACGTGAATATACGCACTCGGTACCGTCTCGAGATACTTTATATCCTGAGATTTATAAGTTTTGATTTCATATCTGTCCATGGCCAGTCTAATGGTCCAATTTCCTCCGTTGCGTCGTTGTGTACTTGGGGGGGGGGGGGGACGGGCCTGCCGCCCTGACCCCCTCCCCGGCCTGGGCCGAGCACGTGTTATAAACTCAACAAACTCGTGAACCGCTTCTCAGAACTTGACATTAACTAATCTGGCTCTAATGTTTACGGCCAGATATACCTGAAGACACGCCCCCCCCCCCCCCCCGGGGGAGCCCAGATGTGCAGAGTTGACGAACTTCCGTGTGGAGGTTGTGAGGGGGGGGGGAGGGTAGCGTGTTAGGGGGGTAAGGAAGTTATGGTTTCTATGTAAATACTCTCAAGACCCATAGGATCAGGGACGAGTCACGCCAATCACACTATTAACACAGCGAGCATGCGCGCACGCGCGCGCACGCACGCGCGCACACGCACGCACACGCACACGCACGCACACGCGCACGCACGCACACGCACGCACACGCACGCACGCACGCGCACGCACGCACGCACACGCACGCACACGCACACGCACGCACGCGCACACACGCACACACACGCACACACAGACAGACAGACAGACATACAGACAGGGGAACTGCCAGATATTTGGAAAGCAGCTAACGTAGTCCCGATATACAAGAAAGGGGATAGACAGGAGGCACTGAACTACAGGCCAGTGTCCCTAACCTGCATACCATGCAAGCTGATGGAGAAGATTGTGCGAAAAAGACTAGTGGAGCATCTGGAGCGAAGGAACTTTGTAACACAGCATCAACATGGGTTCAGGGATGGCAGGTCCTGCCTCACAGGGTTACTTGAATTCTACGACCAGGCATCAAAAATAAGGCAAGAAAGAGAAGGGTGGGCAGACTGCATATTTTTGGATTATCAGAAAGCCTTTGATACAGTACCACACAAGAGGCTAGTGCGAAAGTTGGAGATGCAGGCTGGAGTGAGAGGGAAGGTACTCCGGTGGATAGAGGAATACCTAAGCAACAGGAGACAACGAGTCTGTGTGAGGGGTGAGGTCTCAGATTGGCGAGACGTCACAAGTGGAGTCCCGCAGGGGTCAGTCCTTGGACCTATACTGTTTCTGGTATATGTAAATGATCTCCCAGAGGGTATAGATTCGTTCCTCTCAATGTTTGCCGACGATGCAAAAATTATGAGGAGGATTGAAACAGAGGATGATAGTAGGAGGCTACAAGATGACCTGGATAGACTGAGTGAATGGTCCAACAAATGGCTGTTGAAGTTCAACCCGAGTAAATGCAAAGTAATGAAACTAGGCAGTGGAAACAGGAGGCCAGGCACAGGATACAGAATAGGAGATGAAGTACTTAATGAAACAGACAGAGAGAAAGATCTAGGAGTTGATATCACACCAAACCTGTCTCCTGAAGCCCACATAAAGAGAATAACGTCTGCGGCATATGCGAGGCTGGCTAACATCAGAACGGCGTTCAGGAACCTGTGTAAGGAATCATTCAGAATCTTGTACACCACATATGTAAGACCAATCCTGGAGTATGCGGCCCCAGCATGGAGCCCGTACCTTGTCAAGCACAAGACGAAGCTGGAAAAAGTCCAAAGGTATGCTACTAGACTAGTAGCTTACTAAACTAAGAGGCATGAGTTATGAGGAAAGGCTGCGGGAAATGCACCTCACGACACGAAGACAGAAGAGTAAGGGGGGACATGATCACAACCTACAAAATCCTCAGGGGAATCGACCGGGTAAACAAGGATGAACTATTCAACACTGGTGGGACGCGAACAAGGGGACACAGGTGGAAGCTGAGTACCCAAATGAGCCACAGAGACGTTAGAAAGAACGTTTTCAGTGTCAGAGTAGTTAGTAAATGGAATGCATTAGGAAGTGATGTGGTGGAGGCTGACTCCATACACAGTTTCAAATGTAGATATGATAGAGCCCAATAGGCTCAGGAATCTGTACACCAGTTGATTGACGGTTGAGAGGCGGGACCAAAGAGCCAGAGCTCAACCCCCGCAAGCACAATTAGGTGAGTACAATTAGGTGAGTACACACACACACACACACACACACACACACACACACACACACACACACACACACACAAACACACACACACATACATACATACATACATACATACATACATACATACATACATACATACATATCTCCCACACCCCCAGTTCACCCCCGCCCTGCTACCCTCCCCCCACACCCCAGTTCTCCCCCCCCCCACACCCCAGTTCTCCCCCCCCCCCCCCACACCCCAGTTCTCCCCCCCCACACCCAATTACCCTGCTACCCTCCCCCACACCCCCAGTTCTCCCCTCACACACCCTAGTCTTGCAACCCTCCCCCCACACCCCCACCCTGCTACCCTCCCCCCACACCCCCGCCCTGCTACTCACACCCAGCCTTGCTACTCTCCCCAACTCCCCGCCCTGCTACCCTCCCCCACACCCCTAGTTCTCCCCCCCCCCCCCCGACACCCCAGCTCTTCTCTCCCTTGCTCTCCCAGATACTCCATATCTGGGCCTTCCCCCCATACAAACACACCACCACTGCCAAAACAAACGCCAGCGGTTCCTAATGAGCCTGACTCTAACCTGCCCAGCGACCAACCTTCGCTCCTTCTCGTCTTAGCGGTACGAGGCGCTGTTGTCAGGAAGGAACCGTCCTGCCGGTGTGCGGTGGTGGCAGGAGACGCGTCCCCGTGGCCAGGCTCGGGGCCAGGCTCGGGGCCAGGCTCGGGGCCAGGCTCGGGGCCAGGCTCGGGGCCAGGCTCGGGGCCAGGCTCGGGGCCAGGCTCGGGGCCAGGCTCGGGGCCAGGCTCGGGGCCAGGCTCGGGGCCAGGCTCGGGGCCAGGCTCGTGGCCAGGCTCGGGGCCAGGCTCGGGGCCAGGCTCGGAAATTCTACTGTTGTTGTTGATTTCATGTGAAGCCGGAGCGAGGAGTCAGGTGTAGACGTGATGCACTTGTGGGCGAGGGTTGGGTGTTTTGTTTATGGCGTCAGCTGATAGTTGTTGCTTTTGTAGTTAGGAATTTGCTTCCTATGATTGTCACGATGGTTTGAGGTATATGAACAGGGCAAATGTGACCTAACTTTTTTTGAACTGGAAATATTTAGCCAATGCTTTGGCAATTTGTTATTTTATATGTGGTGAAAGATCTCCTCCCTTTAATATATGCTTGATACCGAAAGGTGCTTTGAGGGTGATGAGTCCTTATGAGATATGAATTAGGGCACTATGATGATTGAAGCGGTCAAGGTGACCAGTAGTCTCTGGAATATTGAATTAGATGCAGAGTTCACTTGTGAATGTTCTGTGTTGATGGTCGCCAGCTGCTATAGTGTGGCCTGTCCCTCCCTTAGTCTGGTCATTGTTATATTTATTTCTCTATGTTCGTGACACGTTCACAAGTTTCTCCATGTCATTCTAATGGTTCCGTAGTGCATTGAGGGCGCATGACGTTTATCATTTCGCTGAACAATATTGTGTTATGGAAGCTTTTAAGGTCCCTTTTTTGTGCAATATGAGGAACTGGATGTGTGATGTGAATTGCATCGTGCATTGCTTTTGCTGGCTGCTCTAAAAGTTCATTGTGGGGGTATTGCACAGTGTGCTGGGACCCATTGGATAGAAATGTAATGTCCTTTCGAATGATGTTCATTGAGAAGTTAAAAGCATGGGCGAACAAGTTCTATTGCATGTTTTGGTGTAGTATGTAATTGCTTGATTACTATTTCCCTCTGGATCTTGTATGTTGTGATCATAACCCTCTCTGTTCCTTCAATCCTAGGGTTGTGAGATTTGGTTCCAGAATACACGAATGTAACTAAATCTCACAACTCTAGAGGATAGAAGGAACAGAGAGGATATGATCACAACATACATGATCCGGAGGAAAATAGATAAAGTTGAGGGAAATAGTGCTTTCTATCAATCTCAATAGCCTTTTGAGATTGGTAGAAAGCAGGAGAAGAGGACACAGGTGGAAGCTGGGAATGCAAATGAGCCTAAGATATATAAGGAATTGCTTGTACCCGGTACGAGTAGTCAATACGTGGAGTGCGCTGAACGAAGAAGTTGTGGAAGCCACCTCCACCCACAACTATAAAATCAGATTCAAGGTCAAAATAGTTAAGTTGTAACGCAACAGGTACAGGAAGGGTGGTCGGCGGGGCATAGGGAGCTAGACCTCACCCAACCACAGACACTGTCAGCTAGCAAGCAACCCTCGTCACCCCCCCCCCCACCTTGCCCGTGGACCAACTGTCACTGGCCAGCGTCACCCCCATCAGCTGCCCAGTGACGCACGCCAGCGTCACCCCCACCAGCTGCCCAGTGACTCATGCCAGCGTCACCCCCACCAGCTGTCCAGTGACTCATGCCAGCGTCACCCCCACCAGCTGTCCAGTGACGCATGCCAGCGTCAAGATACGCTGCGGTCTGCAAGTTGCATAGATCTCGCCAACGCATTACTTCTCAGTGTGCATCTAGGCATTAATCCACAGCTCGGTGATCATTTCAACTGTTTACTCTCGTATAAGCACAAGTTCTGCTCCAGTAACCAGGTGTCGGTGGAGCTTCCGTGGCATGGCCATCGCGCCATTAGGGCGAGCTTGAGCCTTCAGAAAAGATGTCATTCTGGGAAGAGTCCGGGGTGCAGAGCAGACCATTCACCCTGGCACCTGAGTACAAGAACCCCTATCAGGAGGCGGCGGGAG